TCCTAAATCCAGGCCCTTTGCATCAGTTTGGCTGACGAGGGCAGGGCCAGGGCTGGCTGCACATTCCCCTGGGATCAGCAGGGAGAGCCAGGCCTGCTCCCAGCCCTTGCTTTTAACCCTTTCCCTGGGATTTTCCTGTGCTGAATTCCCACGAATAAACCCCATTCTGCTCCCCAGGGGTGCTGAACTCCCTGACAGGTAAATGCCCCCCGAGCCCTCACCTGCAGCTCCCACCACCAGGAGAACTCAAATGCCACTTTTTTCTTTAAGTTTTAAATTTTTTCCCCACTTTTTTTTTTTTTTTTTTAGCTCTTCCAAAGCCTGGAGAATGAATTATGCATTTTCCCCCCTAGCACTGAACTATAAATTCTCCTCTTAGTGCTTGGAACGTTTCTGAAGTTCCGGGAAGTTCCCTCCTCCTGCAGAGCTGAAAGATCCCAGCTGAATAATACAAACCCATGTCCTACTTGGGGCCTCATTTTGGTGCAGGTTTCCTGTGGGTGCTGCTCATTTACCTGTCTTTGGGATGGATTTTCTATCACTCACCTGCTCAGAAGAGGATGGGAGGAATTTATCACCTTCCCAGGAGATAAAACCGAGCGTGTTTGTCCCCAGTGGGGCTCAAGGAGATGCAGAATAATCCAGCACAGCTCAAATCCTGGGAACCACTTCTGCTTTGCTCCCAGCTCTCTGCATCCCTTCTGCACGTCCATCACTTTCCCAGCTTCCCAAAGAACTCGTGGCAACTTTCCTAAGGGGCTTTAAGTGCCTGTGACCCCCCAAATGATGCCCTCAAGGCTCTTTACACCTTGTTTTTTCCAGGAGCACCTGGAAGTCCAAATGCAAACCCCAGGGTGGTTACAGGACCTCAGAGAGCTGTTCAGTGTTAAAACCAGGCTCAGACCTCCTGGCCTGGCCAGGTCAGGTCCTAAACAAAGACTTGATGTCCCAGAGAGCCAAAAATCCCACAGCTCCAAAGAGTTAAAACACTTGGCTGAGCTCTGGATGTGCTGGTGGAGCAGCAGCACCTGCTTTTAATGCATCTCTGACAGCCCAAGGTCACCTCACCCTGCAAGGGAACAGGGGAGGAGGGGAAAAGCTGATTTACAGCAGCCATCCCACAGGGACTGGGAGCTCCATCCCTGTGGCTGCAGCCCCAGCAGAGGGGGGATTATTCTGTGTCTTGGAAAAAAATCGTCATCAGAGGTGATTCCTGCCCTGCACTGCAGGGGTAGCTTATTAATTAATTAACTAATAACACCTCCTTAGGTGTCACACGTGAGCCAGTGTCACAGGACCACCCGTGTGGGACCCCCTGTGCTGGGGTTTTAATGCAGCTCAGGGAAAAACCCCACTGAGGAACCAGGAATGACAATGCACCTGTTTAACACCAAAAAAAATTCAGCCAGCTCAGGTCCTCTCACAATTCCTGATGGGAGGCACATTTGTAATGTCCTTTTCCAACCAGAAAATTCCCTGCCAAATTAATTTTCCGTGTGAATTCAGCCCCAGACCTGGATTAAGAGGGACATCACCCACTCAGGGCAGTTGGGCTCTTTTATTTTTAATTAACGGTGATGCCGAGACCTAAATCCTGATTTCAGGGTTTTTCCTTTGTTTCCTGGAGGACCTTTGAGCTCCTGATTTCAAAAGGGGCTCTGCTGATCTGCCCTGACAGAGGGGCAGGAGCTGCCAACAGCCTGAGCATCCATTCCTGGCTGGAGGGGGGGGAGCACAGCTGGAATAACATCACATCCCAGCTGGAACAACATCACATCCCAGCTGGAACAACATCACATCCCAGCTGGAATAACATCACATCCCATCAGTGCAGGGAGCTGGGAAGGGAGGGAGGGCAGGGAGAGGGAGGGCAGATGTTGGATTGGTCTCATTCCCTACGGATGAGCTGCTGCCTCCACAGAGCAGGGACCACATCCAGGCTCAATTCCCCTGGACTCCCCACTGGTGATGGGGAAAAGGGTTGGTCTTGCCTGAATCTTCCCTATTTTCCTCCTTGGGATGTGCTTCCAAGCAGCTGGAACATCAGGAATCTCATGTGTGTGTTTGTGTGAGAATCCAGAGGATCCTGGAAAAAAAAAAGCCTTTGGCAGCTCCACGAAAAAGGCACCAGGAAATGTAAGAAAAGCAATGCAAAAATTTATATTTTATTTTGAAGTCAAAAATTTAAAATAGCTTTCAAATTCAGCAAAGGATGCCTGAACACAAGGAAAAGCCTCATATACAGAGACAGATAAATTAAATTGTATATACTGCAGACAAGCCAGGTGTATGTATAGATTACATATGTACACTTTTTATGTAAACCAGATTTATACATTTTATTACATTTACAAAAAAAAGCTGATCTTCCACTACTGTTTACTACAATAATGAAAAAAACATTTACATTGGGTTTTTTTAACTGTACAAACTTCTGATTCATAAAAATATATCTCTGTACAAAAGAGGGATTTTTTCTTTTTTTTTTTGTTAGTTTTTCTTCCTTTTGTGTTTTTTTTTTTTTTTTTTTTTTTTTTTTTTTTTTTTTTTTTTTTTTTTTTTTTTTTTTTTTTTTTTTTTTTTTTTAACATAATGCAAGTCCTCTGGGCACAAGGATGGAGAAATGTCACGCATCAGGTCCCAGCCAGCTTGCAAAAAAAATCGGGATAAACCCCCTTCCACTTCCTTTGCTCCTTGGGCAACAGCAGAAAAAGGTACTTAAATGGGTCAAAAGCAGCAAGTCTTGTTTAGGCAGAGCTTCCCCTCTCTCCCTGCCATGGGTGTTTAAATAATTTGGGGTTATTTTTACACACCTTGACACGAGTTTCTCCTGATGAGAGGGAGTCAGGAAGGTCTGGAGAGCCAAAGTGTGCGTTGTGTGTGGCCATCCCTGCTCTCCACCCAGAGCACCCTCGGGGTGTTTGGCACCTTCCCAGCCTGGAGAGGCTTTTCTGGAGCTCAGTGAGGGGAACCTGGAGGGATCCAAGCTCTGCTGCCACGGAGGGGTTGGGATTTTGGGCGCTGGGAGAGGAGCTGGGACACGGCGGGTGCTGGAGCAGCAGGGGTGGGTTTGGCCAGGGGCACGAATCCCGGGATAATTTAGGTTGGAAGGGACCTGGGGGTCAAGGGTGGGACAGGAGAGCCCAGCTGGGGGCAGGAAGCAGCTGTTTCCCTGCAGGAGCAAGCCTGGGATCCATGGGAATCTCCCAGCTCTGCCCTCCCTGGGGTCGCTCAGAACTGAGGGGGGACAAACCTTGGCCCCACACCTGAGTGTCCCCCCAGCCCAGCTGGGTCCCCTCTGTCCCTGACCCTTCTGGGATCCTTGTCCTGCGAGCTGGGGGAGCCCCCAGAGGGACAGCCCAGCCTGGCTGCCCATGGAATTCAGACCTGGAAGCCTCTCCCTGGGTTTCTGGGAGCACTCCCTGCTGCAGGACACAGCCCAGAGCTGCCCTGGGCTCCCTGTGTGCCCAACCCCACGTGGGCAGGGGTCAGGGAGGTGCTGCCTGATGAGGGCTCTGGCTCCTTCTCCCACCCCTGCCCACGTAGGATCAGGTCTCTGGCTCCTTTTCCCACCCCTCAGGGAGAAATCCCAGCACCTTTTCCTGCTTTGGGCAGCGGAGGTGGCATTTTTTTTGGCAGGCTGGCTGTCCAGCCATGAGGCTGGAGAATGCTGCTTTACTCTAAGAGCACTGAATAAGAGACAGAAGTAAAAAAAATAATATATATTTATATACATATACACACACACACACACACGCACACAGAGTAAAAGAATAAACAAACCAGGGGAAAAAAAAAAACAAACCTACCCTGTGGTTTTCATTAGGCAGAACCTCAGCTGACATCAGGGAAGGGAAAAAAACTAGTGCTTGGATGGGAGAGTATGGATGTAAACACCACCCTAGAGGTTTAATGCTGATTTCCCTTGGAGTCTCCTGCAGGAGGAAGCTGCCTCGGTGACACAGGATTTCATTCTCACCTGGGAAATGCCACTGCTGCCTCCAAAAATGGGCCCTCAAAGCAAACAGCCTCAAAGCCTGGATCAACAAGAGCAGCTCTGCTCCTCATCAGAGGAGGCCAAAGTCACCAAAGCCTCGTTCTCTTCTAAGGCAGGAGAAATGTCAAGCTGCCTTATCTGCTCCCCTGAAATACAAGGCAACCTCTGTGCCCCTGGGAAATAAAGGGAGCAGCTCTGGAGAGAAATTAAAACTCTTATTTGGAGTTGCCATTTTGGAGGATCAATATGGAAAGGGCAAAGGCTTTTTTGGGGGGGGAAATCAGGATTTGTTAAGAGCTCTTTTTAAAGAGGTTTTTGTCCCTTGGTGTCTGTCAGCGGTTTCCTGGTCAGAGGGTTTGGACAAAGCTCAGATCAGCAGCCAGGGAGAGGGGGAGTGTTTCCTCCCCAGCCCTAGAGAGCTGCAGGAGTGAACACGGGGCAGAAAAAACCCCAGCAAAAATGCCCAAAGGAAAATGAAAGGGGGAAGAGGGGGAAAAGCTTCCAAAGTTTCGCTTTTCCCGTCGGGAAGGTCCCATTTGAAAACCCTTCCTCTGCCAGAGCCCTGGGGGGGTTAGAAAAAACAACAAACAAATATCCCACAAGCCCAAACATAGACAGAACAAGAGCTCATCCTTTCCTATCCTGGTGTTGTCCATAAATCCAGTCAGCACCTTGTGCACAACCCCTTTGTTGCCCAAGCTCTTCCCGAAGTTGGGGGGCAGCTGGTGGGGCCCCCACACATCCCACGGCTCCCTCTGGGAACACACCACAGGAGCAGGTTGGAAAAGCCTTCCCAGGTGCTCCCCTTGCCCAGGGAAGTTGGGCTGAGCCCCCCTGGCAGGGTGGGGAGGGAGGAGCTGAGCAGGAGCAGACCTTTGGTTGGCTTCGTGATCCAGGATGGAGAGAGGGGGGACCCGGGCGGGGAAGGACGACAGAGGAAAAAACCCAGGACAAACCCAGTGGTCCCTCAGGAGGTCACACAAAGTCCAACGAGGTGCAGCAGCTTCTCCACAGCCTCAGCAAAAGGTTGGGAGGAGGGAGATGGGCAGGGGATGGATGGAGACTAGTGAGGTGAAACACAATCATCCACCAGACGCTGACCCCGGAGCGATCTGGGATGGGGGGAAAGGAAAAGCAAACAGCCTGTTATTAACACACAGAAATGCTGGGAGAGCCTGCAATGGCTTCCTTATCCTAAACTGAGAGCATTCCAGTCTGGAAGGGCTCTACAGGCCACAGGGTGCTTTTGATTATGACATGAAGTGATGTCTCTCTGCAGTAAAACTTTGACATTCCTGATCCCTGAGCAAAATCCCATCAGGATTCACCCAGGGAACGCTCCCTCTTACAGACCCGACTCTTCCTTCCCTTTTGGACTGTTCTCACCACAGCTTTACTGGCACTTGCTTGGCCACTGCTCTCCAAGAGGTTCCCAACCAGCAGCCAGCACATGAGACTCAGAGATGGTCCCGTGCAGGGCCAGGAGTTGGACTCAGTGATCCTTGTGGGTCCCTTCCAACTTGGCATAGTCTGGGATTCTGGGATTCTGGGTTTGGCCCCGTGTGGAGATGATCTCTTAGAATCAGAATATCCTGAGCTCAATCCCACAAGGACTGAGTCCAACTCCTGGCCCAGGAAGAACCACAAGGTCTTTTGGGCCATCTGAACAGCTCCAGGGGCTCCTCTGCCCCATGGCTTCAAAACTGCCAGAGGGCAGTGTTAGGTGGGATACTGGGAAGAAAATCCTCTCTGTGAGGGTGGGGAGGGGCTGGAAGGGTGGGAGGGGCTGAGAAGCTGTGGCTGCCCCATCCCTGGGAGTGTCCCAGGCCAGCTTGGAGCAACCTGGGCTAGCGACGGGCAGAAGGGTGATGGGGTGACACGACCTTTACGATCCCTTCCAAGCCAAGCAGGCCACGATCCTGTGGTTTTGGGGTGCCAGAGGGGAGCCCAGCAGTGCCCCAGCTCACTCACCAGGGGGGTGGGTGCTATACTGCCGTGCACACCGTGCTCACTGTGAACTCGGCCTCGCTGGCCATGATGTCTGTGGGCTGCAGGTTCCGGTCGTACATGGGGTTCTCGAAGGTGGCCCTCACGTTGGTGTTCTCGTGGCCAGCATAGCCATTGAACGGGACTTTTGGTCTTCTCCTGCAGCAGGGCAGAGCAAACCCACAGAGGTCACACAGTCACAGAGTGTCCTGAGCAGCAAGGGACCCACAAGGAGCATCCAGCCCAACCCTCAGCCCTGCACGGACCCAGCCCCAAGAGTCACCCCCTGTGCCCCAGAGGATCAGCCAAAGCCTCCTGGAGCTCTGGCAGCCTTGGGGCTGTGCCCACTGCCCTGAGGAGCCTGGCAGTGCCAACCACCCTCTGAGGGAAGAACCTTTTTCTAAAATCCAACCTAAACCTTCCTGACACAACTCCAGGCCATTCCTGCAGTTCCACCCCCTGCCATGGGCTGGGACACCTTCCACTAGACCAGGCTGCTCAGAGCCCCATCCAACCTGGCCTTGGGAGAGAAGGGAGACAGGATGGAAGGAAGGAGGGAAGGAAAGAAAGGGAGAAAGGGAGAGAGAAAGAGAGAAGAAAGAAGGGGAGAAAGGGTGAGAAAGAGAAAGAGAGAAAGAGAGAGAGAAAGAGAAATAGAGAAAGAAAGAGAAAGAGAAAGAGAAAGAGAAAGAGAAAGAGAAAGAGAAA